ATTGCCTTCTTAGGGAGGGGGGGGGGGGGAGGGGGAAATCCTCTGAAGGGCAAGTAGTTAAAAGTTTTTAGTGCAGTCGGTTTAATGATACTTTCCACTCCAACCAATTCAGTGCAAGTTAAACAATTTGGTGGTCATACTAGGTTGATTTTGTCATAATAATCCCCACGCAGGGGCGGACTGACCATTTGGAAACTCAGGCACTGCCCGAGGGGCCCAGGGTCAGTAGGGGGCCCCATGAGATACCCCTGGTACCTTTTTCATAGGCTTTTTTGAGTTTGGGCAAGGACACAGGGGCCCCATGATCCCCTATTGCCTGGGGGGCCCATGAGTTGTCAGTCCGCCCCTGTCCCCACTCCTTTCTGTACATGAAGCTGCAGGGATGGAATCCCCCCACCACAGCTCATTGGCCCAGCACTGACTGTTGTCTTCTGGGTTTGGCTGAACCCAAGCTCATCAATACTTAAAACAAAAGGAATAAATAATAGAGTTATGGGAACTTGCAGAGATAATGATTATACATTTGGAAACAAAATTTCACTTCCTGTGAAAGGAGGAACAACAGGAAGGGAGAAAAAAGCTGTCTGAAGTTAGAGGAAACTTCTTTAGACAGTTGTCACTTTAACAGGTATCATGTCCTGTTTCAGTGACAACTGTAACATTTTGGATTCCCAGTTACTTCCTCTCCTAGCGATAACGGAGATCAGGAAAAAAATAGAGAGAAAATCTCTTCAGTGGGTGCATAAACAGGGATAAAAACCTTAATCGAGTTCTAACAATTTCAGGTTCTATCAAGGAAAAAACTATTTTGCTAGAGACACTCTTTAACCGCTTTCCGTCCACCCTATAGCAGTAACTCTGCTACAGGGCGGCAGGGGTGCGCAAATTCACGTATATATATATGTGATTTTGCATGGTCAGGTAGGGGGCACAAGCGAACCCTACCTGCACCTCTATTTGTGGCCTTGGTGTCAATTACCGGGTCCCGGTTACCCAGTGATCGCAGAGTATTACCGACGGAGGGAGAGAACGGTCAGTAAACACACACACACACAGAACAACAACACACAGTTAACCCTTTGATCGCCCCACATGTTAACCCTGCCTGCCCAGTGCCATTAGTACAGTGTCACTGCTTTTTATTAGCACTGATCACTGTATTGGTGTCATTGGGGATGTCAGTGACACCAAGTTAGTTCCCCCCAGTGTCAGAATGCCCACCGCAGTCCAGCTATAAGTCGCTGATCGCCACCATTACTTGTTTAAAAAAAAATTACAGTATATATACCAACATTTGTAAACGCTATAACTTTCACGTAAACCAATTAATTTACACATATTGGGATTTTTTTTTTTAGCAAAGACATGGAGCACAATAAACATTAGCCTAAATTTATGACGAATTTTATTTGGACATGTTTAATAGCAAAAAAGGCAAAATATAGTTTCTCTTTTTTGGTCTTTTTTTTATAGCTCAAAAAATAAAAAGCGCACAGGCGATCAAATACCACTGAAAGAAAGCCCTATTCGTGAGGGAAAAAAAGACGTACATTTCATTTGGGTGCAGCATTGCATGACCGCACAATTGTCAGTTAAAGTAACGCAGCACAGTAGCTTAAAAAAATGGCCTGGTCAGGAAGGGGGTAAATCCTCTGGAGAGCAAGTGGTTAACCATCTTGTTCTTCCTCCTCCCCTGGCTGCATTTATCAGCAAATCCCAGATGTCATTTTGACAGCCAGGACTGTAACACAAGGGCAGATTTTGCCTGCCTTACGTAAACTGCCACTTGGAGAATGGTGTATGTGGTGTCAGGGAGAGTTACAATGTAGTAATATTGTTATTTTTTTTACTCTGGCTTGTTCATAGCAGGAAAAAGGTGACTTTTGATCTGCATATGAAGTTAGTAAAAGCTCTCCATTTATCCCTCTTTTACAGCTCTGCCATCTTTAATTGCGATTTGGCACATGCATGCCAGGCATGCCATGAGTCTGCCACAGACCCCAATGTTGTGTGTGTGTACGCACACGTGTGACAGCTCACAAATGCATCCTACAGTTGCAAGAAAAAGTATGTGAACCCCTTGGGATTACGTGGAGTTTTGCATGAATTGGGCATAAAATGTGCTCTGAACGTCATCTAAGTCACAACAATAGAAGAACACAGTCTGCTGAACATAATACTACACAAACATTAGATGTTGCCATGGTTTAATTGCACATAACATGTAAACATTCACAGTGCAGGGAGGAAAAAGTATGTGAACCTTTGGACTTAATAACTGGTTGACCCTCCTTTGGCAGCAATAACCTCAACCAAACGTTTCCTGTAGTTGCAGATCAGACCTGCACAATGATCTGGAGTAATTCTGGACCACTCCTCTTCACAAAACTGTTTCAGTGTAGCAATATTCTTGGGATGTCTGGTGTGAATCGCTCTCTTAAGGTCATGCCACAGCATTTCAATCGGGTTGAGGTCAGGACTCTGACTGGGCCACTCCAGAAGGCGTATTCTGTGCTGTTGCAGCTATTGTTTTGTTGAATTACTTGTATGCTTTGGGTCATTGTCCTGTTGCATCACCCATCCTCTGCGGAGCTTCAGTTGGCGGACAGATGGTCATACGTTTTCCTGCAAAATGTCTTGATAAACTGTGGAATTCATTTTCCCATCAATGACAACAATCCGTCCAGGCCCTGAGGCAGCAAAGCAGCCCAAACCATGATGCTCCCTCCGCCATGTTTTACAGTGGGGATGAGGTTTTGATGTTGGTGTGCTGTGCCTTTTTTTCTCCACACATAGTGTTGTGTGTTCTTCCCAAACAACTCAATCTTGGTTTCATCTGTCCGCAGTATATTTTGCCAGTAGTGCTGTGGAACATCCAGGTGCTCTTTTGCAAACTTCAAACGTGCTGCAATATTCTTTTTGGACAGCAATGGCTTCCTCCGTGGTGTCCTCCCATGTACTCCATTCTTGTTTAATGTTTTCCTTATTGTAGATGTGTCAACAAAAATGTTAGCATGTGCCAGAGATTTCTGTAGGTCTTTAGCTGACACTCTGGGATTCTTCTTTACCTCATGCAGCATTCTGCGCTGTGCTCTTGCAGTCATTTTTACAGGACGACCACGCCTAGGGAGAGTAGCAACAGTGCTAAACTTTCTCCATTTGTAGACAGTCTGTCTTACCGTGGACACATGAACATCAAGGCTTTTGGAGATACTTTTGTAACCCTTTCCAGCTTCATGCAAGTCAACAATTCTTGATTGTAGGTCTTCTGAGAGCTCTTTTCTGCGAGGCATGGTTCACATCAGACAGTGCTTCTTGAAACCAGTAAACCCAAAACAGGTGTGTGTTTTTTTAAGGGCAGGACAGCTGTCCGCAACACATCCAATATCATCACACTGATTGGAGTCAAGGTTGGCTCACTCCTGGCTCCAATTAGCTCTGGGAGTAGTCATTAAGCTAGGGCCTCACATACTTTTTCCTCTCTGCACTGTGAATTTTTACATGTTATGTGCAATTAAACCATGGCAACATCTAATGTTTGTGTAGTATTATGTTCAGCAGACTGTGTTCTATTGTTGTGACTTAGATGGCGTTCAGAGCACATTTTATGCCCAGTTCATGCAAAACTCCACATAATCCCAAGGGGTTCACATACTTTTTCTTGCAACTGTATATCACACATCCCATGAGGCTGTTTATAAGATGTCATGATTGCATGCACATGCTGCGGAGGCTTATGATGTATCTTCATATGGTTGCTTGAGATCTTACCTAATTTACTTTTTTTTTTCTTTTTAACTTTTTAAATGGGAGGAGGGGGAGGCAGGAAAGAGGACCTTAAAAATGGGTGAAGTTCTGCTTTAACTTCACTTTGTCACAACTGTCACTTCTATCTTGTCTTAGACATTGAGAGAAGATAGTGAAAGCCAGATCGCTTACAAGGGGCTTGTTTGCTTTCTTGATTGGAGTTACTTGTTAATTAATTTTCCAGCACGCAGTAAACTAAATTAATCTATTTATTCTGAAAAATAAAAAAAACTTTTATTTCCCTCTTTCTGCATTTAGAATTCTGTGTGATTCTCTACAGCGTACGAGAAATGTCACACGTTGATGTTTCTGCTTTTATCTTTCATGGTAACACCTGTCACCGCAACTTCTTATTTCTTCATTCTGTGTTATCTGAAAAGTGCCCTATATATCTCACCAGCTATCAGATCCTGAAAGGCTTTTAACTATTTTTGACTCTCCATCTTCTGTTACTGGAAACCTCTCAGCAATGCCAGTGGCACCCTATGCAAATAAGAACGAGGATGCCGGTTCAGAAGGCAGCTCTGCCGTTAAGGGAAAGCTAACTGTATGAAATGGCATCGAAGAGTCGGGTTCCTTGTGCTTTCTTAACACTTAGTTATTAATGGTTTCAAAAACAGGCAAATCTTCATGTTACAAATGTACCGAGTCTCCTTAGTATATACAAAAGATTCTTGTAATCTACACCAAATGGCCAAATGTATATGGACATCCTTTCGAATTACAGAGTTTAGGTGTTTCCAGAGAAGGATCTTGTGCTATAGGATACAAAAGACATTGTAGACCTCGGAGGTCAAATTTGCGGCCCTCCAGCTGTTGCCAAACTACAAGTCCCATGAGGCATTGCAAGACTGACAGTTACAAGCATGACTCCCAAAGGCAGAGGCATGATGGGACTTGTAGTTTCGCAACAGCTGGAGGGCCGCCAGTTTGACACCACTGTTGTAGACAATGGGCTTTCATTGGCAACAGTGTGGGGAAGGCCCATTTCTGTTTCAGTAAAGCCATCTCCAAAAAGGCATGGTTTGGTGTGGAGGAACTTAGCCCTGACCTCAACCCTACTGAACAGATTTGGGATGGAATGGAATGGTGACTACGAGCCAGGTCTTCTCATTCCCACAAACACTCCAAATTTTGCAGAAAGCCTTTCCAGAACAGTGGGAACTGTATATCCATTGAAGGTTGGGGCACGCCGTAGCCTCCCTGGTGGTATTCCTGAGTGTAGCTCGGGGTAAAGTTTCAGTACCACAAGCAGTAACCCCGAGCTACATTCGGGCTTACCATGCGGCGCAGCTCCGCGATCCCTCGGTCACTTACCTTGTCCTGCGCTCCCACGATGTCCCTCCTGCAGTGTCCCCGGCAATGAAATCCAGCGGATGCAGGCATCTGTCATCTGGGTTCCGTCCTCTGCGAGCGTCGGGACGTACAGGGGACGGAACGGCGGGAAATTTGAAAAATACAAAAAGTGACATTCACTAAAATCACATAGTAAAACATTACTATACCAAACCATTTCACATACATTTTGTCCCAAGTGCTTTGTCCTGTGCCCTGCTTGCATTTTTACTGTTCTTTCTGCCTGGAAACTGAGAAATGTCCATGGCGTCCAAAAAGTGTCCCTTTAGGTCAAAAGCGGACCAGCTAGAGAACAGCGATAGTAAATTAGAACCACTTGCAGAATTGAGTGATAATGATTCGCGGGGAAATTCGTCATCAGACATTGAAAACGATTTTGAGACTTTGCTCAGTGATGTGCGAACTTGGCGCTATATTTCAAATTTCAGTGTTTTTGGTTTGATTATATTATTGAATTAAATTTATTATTATTATATTATTATTTTTTATGATTATTTATTAAATTATAATTTATGATTTCGTGTTTCAAATTTTATCATATCCGGGATGTTTACTAGACTCTTGTTCGGACAGATTTCAGTGAATTATTCCTAAGAATTACAGGCCTACAATATAAAACGCCAAATTTCCATGCAAAATAATGGTACTGCTTTCAGCACCAAAAATCACCACCAGGGAGGTTAATAAAGTGGAACTTCACTCCCTCAATCCACATTACCTATTTTTAACCCTTATGCTGCTAGCATTAGTAAATAGATAGGAAAGTATATCAGATTTACTTGTTTTTAAACCTTTTTTTACATTTCTGCAGTTACTTTCTGGTTTCTTGCCTAGGGAAATTATGTCCTACATCCCAGGAGTCTTCAAGACGGGGGAAAGGATTAGGGGTTTTCTCGGCTAAGCACACTCTTCTGCCTGCATGCTTGAGCTAAGGGCAGATGGATTCTAGGAAGTAAATGCTACATGAATCATTTGCCATTACACAAGATCTCCACTGCCTGAAATGCTAGGGGTTGTTTTTCAAAGTCATTTCTCAACAAAATAAAGCATAGAGACATGGATAGATGGCGGCGTTTGCTTTGCGTATTAAAAATAAGTAAATAGTGTTTTTGGTTTGTGCTGCTCAAATGCGTTGAAGATCACAAACATGGTTATAGAATGGGAAGTCAAATAAGCCGAAACAAGTGTGATAGTCAGGTGTCCACAAATGCTTGTCTATATATTATACACAGAATAATATAATATATGCAGAATGGCTCTAAAATGTGGGAGCTTATGCAGGCAAATTTGCATACTATGATAAAAAGTGATGAATCAATGGTTCTCTTTTTTCCACCATGTCTTATATAGTCACATGTGGTAGAGATGTCCCTCGTTAAATGTATTGATAAATCCAGGATTAGAGTTTCAATGCATATTTGGCTATTTTAAAAATGCATCTGGTCAGCAAAATCCCCCATTTAAACAGTTACAAAGAGTACTATGAAGGGTGAAAAAGTACATCTTTCAGATTATAGTTATTAGCTATTTTGCTCTATAACATACAGTATGCCTTGTCTGCATTTTGAAACTAAACCGATGCTGGATCCAGTTCTCTATATCCAGACCTCCAGAACAATGCATACTACCTGGCAGTGTCTTAAAGAGGAATTCCAGGTGTGGATATTTTATACATTGCTACACCGGTCCAGCTTGGACCAATGTAACTGTGCATAAAATATAACATACCTAGTCAACACTCCTGGAAGCTGAAAATCATTAAAGTAGACACCACTACTCCAGGGATCTGAACTTGCTTTCGGGTCCTGTGCAGAGCTGCTGTCTTCTAAACAGGAGGGTCAGTCGCTCAGCCAGCATGTGAGCCATTCAGAGAATGAAAGCAAAGTGTTCATGGACAAGATGGAGAGCATCACACCGCCCAGAACAGGAATAGAAGGAAACTCCTCCAATAGGGACACTAGTTCTGGTGACATTCTCTGATTGGACAAGGTGGAGAGCATGAAGTCACCCAGAACAGGAACTGAATGAAACTCCTCAAGGAATTGAAGGAAACTCTTCCAATGGGGACACAAGTTCTGGTGACAACCAAGAATTACCTCACTTTTTTGGGACTTCCTCTCACTTCCTGTTGGAACTACAGAACAGACAGTGAAGAAAAATCTAACAGTTGACAAAAGAAAAAAACCCTGACGGCATTATAACCCTCCCTTACTATATTCAAAAACGAGAGGTCCAGATTGAGAGGGAATCCAAAAATGACTAAGCAATTCTTCAGGGGTTAGTTCTACACACGTATAACATACTACTTAAAGTGGTTCTAAAGTGAGATTTTTTTTTTTACCATAATGCATTTTCTACATTAAAAGGTAAAAAAACTCCCCACTACCTATCCTACCCTCCCCATCCCTAAACACTTACCATAATACTGTTGCCGCTCAAGCGCTGTCCTGGCTGCAGCACTGCTCCTGTCACATCCTGGTCTCACAGAGAGACACTAAAATCAGTAGGAGCCATAGGCTCCTGCTGCTGTCAGTCAAGCTCCTGTGAGGAAGGAACAGGGGCATGGCTTACCAGTGCTGTGTGTGTCTATGAATGCACACAGCCCAGCTCAGGAGTGGACACACAAAGGTGCCTCTATAGCACCTGGCTTACTAAGGAGGCACCCGGAGGAAGGGGGAGTGGATGGTGCCGGCCGGGGACTGCTAAAGAGGAGGTAAGGGACAGCTCTGTACAATATTCTTGCACACAGCAGGTAAGTAGGTAAGTATAACATCTTCTTTATTTTAATTAAAAAAATTAACCTTTGGTATCACTTTTAGGCAGAAGTAAATTGTATACCAGGTATGAATGGTCTTCCAAAAATCAATAAAATACTTAAAGTTTAGTAACTGTCATGTACAGCGTTTTGACTGTAGTAATTGATGATACCCACAAGAAATAATAGAAAGTTAGTATTACTGACCTTATTTGCCACAGTACAATGTACCAAAAAGATGAAGAGTGAATAATATAGGACTTCAACAAATGTAGAAGGTCACTTAGCTGTGTTTATCAAGACTCTCCTGTTTGCCCCTAGGTGTAATTTACTATAGTTGAAAGTCATGATGGCATTTTGTTCTGTAGTAGATACCAATTTTTAGATGTGGTTAACATGTTTCCCATTATGTCCCCAATGGCTAGCAAGTTGATCTCCCAGCATCATTGTGTTTTGGCTGGCATGCTGCCTTCTCCCTGGCAGGATGTAGTGAGGTTGGGTTAGACTATAAAGTAGGGGTTACTGGATTTTACATAAGGGGAAGGAGAGATGCACAACAAGACAACAAGTGCAAGGGGCTGTTGATGGTGAGCAATGGGAATAGTAAAGGAGAGCACTGGAGGGGAAGGAAAAGTGTAATACACATGGATGCTGTAGGAGGGTAGAAGAGCAAAACAAGGTAGGGGGCACTATAGGGGAGAAGAGTCACCATACAGGGGAGCACTGGAGGGAGAACTTTGATTCATTATGGGGGGGGGCACTGAAAGGGCAAAGAGCAACAATACAGGGAGGGTGCTGTAAAGGAGAGAAGAGGACCAATACATATGAAACACTAGGTTGTTGGGGGGTAACATTTGGGGTTTGGAGGGTAGAAGAGGTGCAATACAGGAGGATGCTGGAGAGGAAGGAGAACCACAGTACAGGGAAGATGCCATAAGGGTAAGTGGCACAGTGCTATATGGGGGTTTTGGATTGCAAAGCAGGTGGAAGTGAGGGGATGCTAGAGAAGGAATGCACTATACAATGGAGACACTGAATGAGAAGGAGTCATAGTACAGGGGTGCACTGGTTGGGGACAAGAGGCCAGACAAAGGTGGAAAGCTGTATAGGAAGAAGAGAGGCGTACAGAAAGATACTGATGAGGCATGTATGATTTGGAGGTTCCATTAAAAATTAATACAGTGTAGGGCCCAGCTGTCATGCGGACAGCCCAGCCCTGATGCTAATACTGGGAGAGAGGTTCTCCCAGTGTATTTAGCAGGGCTCTGCTGTCAAGTTTGTCAGTTTGCTGGTCTGTGTGTATCAAGAGTAGTGTTAGTGCCCTTAAACCAGGACTGAGCTTCCAGTCACAGTGTCAGCCACTGCAATGTATTTAGTTTGACTGCCAAGTCCTGCTTATTGCAGGACATGGTTAGGGCAACAAACAGTGGCAAGAGAAGCTCCCACCACAGCTGCACATTCCCCACCATAGTACCTGATGAGGGACATTCTCCTGCCTCTGCCTTGACCATGCCCAGAGTAAAAGATGGATGGTGATGGGATGCTATGGATATCACAATGAACTGCTAAATGACAGTTAATGACAACTGCTAGTTTTTACTGTTATACTGAAAATATTGCTTATTCCAGGTACCCAGAGGGTCAAGCCTGGAACCGGCACATAGCTGGCATCTCTGAGATGCTCCTCATTCCATCTCTATGGATATAGCAAAGGAAATCTACCACGTCAGCTATAGCCGTCGGGACGAGGTCTCATCCAGCTGTGACTTGGATGGAAAGAAGAACATCTTGGTCTCCATGAGTCGTCTTCCTCAGGACTGCCTGAGCCTATTAGAGATTGCCTTAGTGCTAAATACCATGGGGTGCATCCACAGTCTAAGCTGCAAGCCCAAGGTTTTTCGAGAGTCCATTTCTGTCCTGGACATCAAAGCCACCATTGACTCCACGCCCACAAGAATTGATGAGTCATCTAGTGTCGTGCTGAGATACAGGACGCCCCACTTCCGAGCCACCGCTGAAGTCTTAGTGCCTCCAATTACCGGGAAGGAGACCTGGAGGGTGGGATGGATTCAGGCCTGCAACCATATGGAGTTCTACAACTACTATGGAGACTTGGGCATGTAAGTGTAAACTAAAGCAGATCTGGGGGCATGATGTAATGTAAACCCAAGATTTATTTTTATCCTTACTTCACTACTTTAGTGAGCCGCTGATCTGGAAAAAAAACAAACATTCACATCCTGGCACTGTAAAGCTTGTTCTAGGTTGGTGATGCACCAAGTAGTAAAATAAAGGTTCAAGATGATGGCTTTAAAGAGAGCAAATTAAAAAAAAAAGCTTCTATATTCGTATCCTACCAAGTTAATTTTCAATCCATATATGTATTACATATAGTATAAGTAAGCTGTCAAATTATCACAGAGCAATTCATTTGAAAGCATTCATCAATGGCCTTGAGAAGCTTGTGAAAGGCAAGAAGGCATTTCATTGGTTTCTATTGGCAACGTGACTTCCCCGTTTGCTCCCTTTCATAAACTTTTACAATTAAGATTTAAAGCTGCCTAGCAGCTACATTAGGGTTAGTAACTGAAATGGTTGAGGGAAGAACTGTTCTTGTTGCCTATAGCAACTAATCCGGTTTCCCTTAAAGTGAACCTTTCAGCATTACCAACATTTGTAACTAGGGATGAGTTTTGGCGTAGTTGGATCCTATTCCCAACACATCTGAGCGAGTCCATCAAGAAGCAGTCATTGTACTGGGCCAATCATATGTGGCTGAGACATTCCCAACACTACAGATGAATGAAAACAGTCATGGGGAATGCCCTGGCCACAGATGATTGGCCCAGTACAGTGACAGCTTCATGGTGGGTTCATTCAGGTAGGTTCAGACTAGGATCCAAATACTATTTGTAACCCTGCTGCTTGAAAGAACATTTTTTTGAGAGGAGTATGTAGCCTGCCACTGCTGACCTCCTGAAAAATACTAGCCGCTTGGCTGCCTTGTTGATCCTAGAGATACTTCTTCTCAGCCACCAATTAGCATCAGTCCTACTAAAGACAACACTTTTTTCTTTTTGGATAGCGTAAGGAATGTTATTCTTTGACAGTAGAACAGGGTATCAAACTCCATTTCATACCGGGGTGTATCAGCATTATGTTTGCCCTCAAAAGGGCCGGTTGTATCTGTAAGACTAAAGAGCACCCCTTACCCCCCATTACATCATATGTCAAGACTCCCAAACCCTCCCTAACATCACCGTGCACCCCCTTTAGTGGCAGAGCTGGAAAGCAGAAAGTGCAGGGTCTGGAGGAGAACCATAAGAGGAGTGAAGTCAGTTACCAGAGTCTGCTGTATGCTGAGACCAGAGGGTAGCAGAGATAAGGGGGTGCTGCAGCTACACTGAGAGGTGCAGGATTTGGCAGAGGAGTTCTATTCTCCTCTCAGCTACCGACTGCTGAGACAAGGCGGGGGTGGAGAGAAGGGGGTGCCTGCAGGAGAGGTGCGAGGGCCACAGGAAATGGTCTGGAGGGCCGGATTCAGCCCTCGGGCCTTGTATTTGACACCTGTGAAGTAGAACTGTAGGCAAAACTTTTTTTCCCCATTCTGGATAGAGCACCCCTGTCAGATTTTCTTTTTTTTTTTTGCTATCAGTGTCCCATTGCAGAGATTTCCCTTCACTTCCTGTCCCATAGCCAAATAGAAAGTGAGAGAAAATCCCTGCAAATCAAGGGAATTCTTTGGGGTACCCCAGAACTAGTGTCCCCATTGGAACATTTCCCCTCTACTACTTTTTTGGGGACAACCCAAAAAGTGGAATTTTTTTTCACTTTCAATGATAATGGTAAACAGGATACAGAGAGGGGGTGAATCTCCTGAAAGCATAACTTCATTCTCTCAATCAACATTGACTATTTTTATTCCTTATGTTGCTAGAATTAATAAATAGATAGGAAAGTATATCATATTTACTTGTTTTAATTTTTCTTTTACATTTCTTGAGTTACTTGGTTTTCATGCCTAGGCAAATGATGTCATACATCCCAGGAGTCTTCGAGAAGGGAGGAGAGATTTTCTCAGCTAAGCACATCCTGCATGCATGAGTTAAGGGAAGATGGATTCCGGGAACTATCCCTGAATTAGTGTCCCCATTGTAAGATTCCCTATCTATTCCTGCTTTGGTGACAACCCAAAGTTTGGGATTTTCTTTTCTTTTCACCCCAGAGATAATGGTAAACATAAGAAACAAAGAGGGTGAAGATAGTTGCTCTGGCCCAACTCTATAGCTCAAAAACAAGTCAGCAATGGCAACTTTATACTCCTATCCTGATGGGTTCCTTGAGTGGGCACACTGGACCCAGCTCCACCATCATGCTGAGACCTGTAGTCCCATTCCATCAGTTATGTAGCAGATTTGCCTCTTCCTGGGCCACATTGATGTCTGAAGGAAGATATCATTTTCATGGCTGTAGATGGCTCAGCTCCAGCTATGAAACCCAATAAAATGATTAGAAACAATCAATGTTTGAAATGGAGCTTGAAACAAGCTGGATATGAATAAGCAGTGGAATTAAATCCTCAAGGCTCTTGTCATGCCAGTGATTGCAGCCTCAGGGATCGTGTTTTCATTATCTTTTTCATCGACTTTTCCTGCGTGTCCTGGGAATTAGATTTTTTTTTTCTGACCTTCTTACACATTCTAAAATGCTCAGCTATGACCTTCGAGCAGTCAGGTTTAGCAGAGACGCCTTCAATAAATCCTGTAAATCATAACCGAATTAAAGGGTCAGTCCACCTAAATACACTTCAGGAGGTAAAGTGTAGAAACCATTGCGATGTCTGCCAGTGAGAACTACATATGTGACATCTTAAAGAGAACCAGTCATGGTTGGGCTTATGAAATCTTTGGAACACCGAAAGCAAAACTACAGTGTGGCCAAGGCTAGGCAGCTCTTGCCATTATGGCAGACTCATCGTGATGTTTGCCATTTTCCAGCGCTGACAGTTCAGTGCTGTCCCTTCCCATATCATCTGCTGCCACTGCCTTCTTCTCCACTGCTTCTTCCTCTTTGACTGATGGAAGAGCAATGGTCATGTAATGCTGCGTGCTGGAATTAGATTGTCCCAGCACCCGGCTCCATTCTCAGCAGATGCCTCTGCCTCGAGATGTGTCAGCCATTTGGAGGCTGACAGTCCCCCAACAGCCACCATCTAGGGAGATTGAATCATGCTGCCATTTTTGTGATGTGCCTTTGATTTTATTCTTTTGTGAGTATAATACTTTTTATTCAATGAATATTATTTTTAGAAGGTAATGCACTAGGCCCATGTGCACTCTGTTTCTTTGCACAAAGCTCTTGCCATTATGGCAGACTCATTGTGGCGTTTGCGGTCTTCCAGCGCTGACAGTTCAGTGCCGTCCCTTCCCATATAATCTGCTGCCACTGCCTTCTTCTCCACTGCTTCCTCCTCTTTGACTGATGGAAGAGCAATGGTCATGTAATGCTGCATGCTGGAATTAGATTGTCCCAGCACCAGGCTGCATTCTAAGCAGATGTCAAGAATCCCATATTGCCTCACTTTTTTTTTTGGGAAGGGGTGTATAACTACACTTAAAGGGTAACTCCACTTTTGTGGAAAAAAAAATAGCAATTACTGTATATACTCGAGTATAAGCCGACCCGAATATAAGCCGAGGGTACCTAATTTTACCACAAAAAACTGGGAAAAACTATTGACTCGAGTATAAGCCCCATCATTAGTATCAGTGGGAGGAATAGTGCCCCATCATTGGTATCAGTGGGAGGAATAGTGCCCCATCATTGGTGTCAGTGGGAGGAATAGTGCCCCATCATTGGTATCAGTGGGAGGAATAGTGCCCCATCATTGGTGTCAGTGGGAGGAATAGTGCCCCATCATTGGTATCACTGGGAGGAATAGTGCCCCATCGTTGGTGTCAGTGGGAGGAATAGTGCCCCATCATTGGTATCAGTGGGAGGAATAGTGCCCCATCATTGGTGTCAGTGGGAGGAATAGTGCCCCATCATTGGTATCACTGGGAGGAATAGTGCCCCATCGTTGGTGTCAGTGGGAGGAATAATGCCCCATCATTAGTATCAGTGGGAGGAATAGTGCCCCATCATTGGTGTCAGTGGGAGGAATAGTGCCCCATCGTTGGTGTCAGTGGGAGGAATAATACCCCATCATTAGTATCAGTGACACCAATGATGCGGCACTATTCCTCCCACTGACACCAATGACACTTGCTGACCCCTGTTGCAGTATGGTGCTGCTGCAGCCAGCATATGTGGTTGCAGCAGCACTTCTGCACTGCACACTTACCGGCTTTTCCCTCACTCGATTTTTTTGCGGCTCCGCATCCTCGCCCGTGATTGGCCGCCTGTGTACCTTTCCTGAGCTACAGTTCTGGCGGCCAATCACCGGTGAGGAGGCGGAGCCGAGCGGCAGGAGTGAGGGAGTGGCCGGAGTGACGGAAGGAGCAGCGCTTCCTGGATGGATCATCGTGGGAGCCAGGTAAGAGACAGCAGCCCTCTGCCCACCCCTGTACGCGCCCCCCTTGACGTTGACTCGAGTATAAGCCGAGGGGGCCGTTTTTCAGCACAAAAAATGTGCTGAAAAACTCGGCTTATACTCGAGTATATACGGTAAAAAAAGATATAGCATATAAAATTGCGACACAAGTCTTATTGTTATTGAATGTTATTAAAAATTACCTTCCCCTTTTAATCTGCATGCTGCACTTTTCTGTAAAATTCAATGCATTATGGCAACCTGGAGGTGTCCTGGTGTACAGAATGCCCCCAAATATGTAATTTCCTGCTTTAGTGATTGGCTCACTGATTTTCTCACAAGTCTCCACTAAAATAAGTCAGATTTTGGGCATACCTTGCAACAAAAATTTTCATTTTAGTGAAATACTCCCAAAGGGAAATCACATCTAAAGGGATGCAGACCCTGCAATTTTCTTCATTATTTCTTTGTTAGAGCCCCACAAGTGCAGCAGGTGATTGATAATTATAAAATCATTCCCATTCACTTTACACTTGGCACAAACAGCTATTTCTTCAGAATAACAAAAGGTAAGAATTTGATACAAAG